TGCATCACAGGAATAAATTACATTTTAAAATATATTGAAATAGAAAATAATTATTTAATGTAATTATATTTCATAATATTACTGTTTTTACTGTATTTTTCATCAAATGAATGCAGCCTTTGTGAGAATAATAGACTTTAAAATATATTTTAATAATACCTATTATTTGAATAATACCAATTTATATAATCTTACATTACTCTTACATGAATAACTAACAACCTGGCCCAGGAGGTGGAGTCTAACACACCTGCACTCTTGCCTCCGTCAGCTCCGTCCTCAGTGCCAGCTGTTCCCGTGCATACACATCTGGGTAATGTGTCTTCTGAAAGACCTTCTCCAGCTCCTCCAGCTGAAAGGTGCTGAAAGTTGTCCGGTTTCGCCGCTTCTTGTTCTTGCCTGAAAGGTCGATGGAGTCAGTGATGGAGTCTCCAGTCAGCCCGTTGGACGGCTCTTTCAGTTTTCCACAACACTCTGAGTCTAGAGCGGGATATCCAAGGGCCTTGGGTACTGGCTTATCTCCTGCTGACACCAAGACAGAATGAGTGCTGCTTTGCGCAGAGTTACGGAGTTCAGTGACCATTTAGTTTTAAATAAGCAAATGTAAATACTGTGCACAGGCTAATTAAACGTCATTTTCTATGTTAGCTTTTCTTGTCTTCTAAACTGTAGTTAATTACTTATTTATGTTTAGCCTGAATATTTGCAATATTAGCCTCACTTGATTTAGTTAGCTGGCAGGGCTAAATGACCTCAGACTAACCACAAACACATCAAATATATGTTTTAATTAAACAGCAAACAGAATTATAAAGTTTAAAAATTAAATTAATACAAATTGCACCAAAAACTTAATACAAATTCTACAAAAAATTTAAATATGAAGTAGCACAACTTAAAGTACTTAAATATAACTTTGCAAAAAAAAATAAAACACATATTGTTGATCTGTGATAAATTCATAGCAATCACTGTCTATGTTAATGTAAACGTGTAAGCTATTTTGTTAATCAA